TTGAGAGAGAGAGAGAGAGAGGGAGAGAGAGAGAGAGAGAGAGAGAGAGAAACTCCAAAATAAAGCAGTAGAAAAAGATGGGGAAAATTGTGTTCAACCTCTGGAGAGGAAAGAGCCCAGGTTCCCTCTTCCTTTGTCTTTATGACACCACCCTTCCCATGGTCCCTGACTGGGACCAGAATGATTTCAGTCCCTATGTTCCCTGAAGTTGCCTCTGGCCAGGGAAGGGAGTACATCTGAACAGAGGCCTCCTCTCCCAAAGGCAGGTCTCTATTAGCATGGCCTCTGAAAGGCTTGCTTTCCATGCTTCCTATTTTTTTTCAAGAGGGGCTCTGGAAAGCAATTCCAGTTCTCACAGACCATCTAAGCCACTAATCAATGACAAGTGTCCTTTACTCAGAACCAGGAGTTCTAGTTATAGTCATCTCTCCTAAGAGGTGTGCTAAGTGTTTACTGGGCTACAGCTCTATTTCTCAGTATTTAAAAAGAACTGGGTGGCTCAGTGTTTGACAAGTCCCTAACTAAAAATACCTGGAGATCTAGAATTATCTCTAATAGAAAGGTAAGGACAGTCTGTAGTCTCTGCTAGTGAGCTGACAGTGACTGAGTATAGTGGTTTGAATTGCACTTTTCTAAAAGCTAAATTCAAGTTCTAATCTGTGGAAGCTATGAATGTGACCTTGTTTAGAAATAGGGTCTTTGCAGATATAATCAGGTTAAGATGAGGCCATATTGGATTAGGATTGTCCTGAACACAATAATCAGTGCTTTTACAGAAGAGATCTGACAGTAGGATCAGAGATGACACAGGGATAACAGCCATGTGGAGGGTAAAGCTGGGATTACGGTGATAGAGCTGCAAGCAAAACTTCTGAGGCTGCCAGAGCCACGGGAAGCCAAACATGGATGCTGTCCACTAGGCCTTCAAAAGGACTGTGGTCCTGAAGATACTGACACCAGACGCTTTTAGCCTCCAGAACAATGAGAGAATACATGTGTGTTGTCTTAAGTCCCCCCAGTTCACCCTATCTTGTTATGTAGGCCCTAGAAAACGGATACACCGAACCATAGGAATCAACTCCAATACAGCAATAGGCTGGAGGCCTCAACTCCGGAGCCAGGGCCTGCATAGCACTCATAAGGGCCTCAGTCCAGGCACTTTTTGCACCAGTAAGGTTGGCCACTACTTTACAAACAAGAAGCCATACAATGGAGCTATTTTTTTCTAAAGAGTTGGTTTCAGAGACCAAATGGATTCATTCTAAGTCTGTCACGATTGTTCAAAAGCAAAGTTAATGAGCACAGTTCAGTATATCACTGCTGGTGGGGTTTTCAGTTTTATTTTCAGTTTTTTGTTTTTAAAGACAGGGTTTCTCTACATAGCTCTAGCTGTCCTAAAACTCACCATGTAGACTAGGCCAGCCTGAAACTCACAAAGATTCACCTGCCTCTGTGTCCCAGAGTGGTGGGATTGAAGGTATGCCCTGCCCTGCTGGTTTTTTTCTTAAAGGGCCTGCACTGCATATTCATTCACAGAGCTTACCTGGGCCATATCATCCAAACAGTTGAAAATGTACTTTCTTGCTTCTTTTGATTTAATCCCCGTCTCTGCTTCATGGTCATCTGGTGTCTATAGAAAAAAACAAAACCAGGTTGATCAGATGGCACCTCTGAGTCACTGAATCGTGAACTCTTGAGCTCCAGCTTTGACCCAAGGTCTTGTCTCACTCTGCATAGGAGGAGACTTTGGTTTCTCTGAAAGTGTCCTGCACAAGAGCCCCTGTCTCTGTTCATCCACACTAGCTCATCTTCCTTCCTCCCGACAGAATCCACTCATGCTCACTCAGATACAGTTACCAAAGACCCTAAAGAGAACATGAGAACCACACCCTTCCTACTTTGCAGCTTTCCATAAGCTGAAGGTAAGGTTCCATCCAGGAAGACCAGAGCCCTTTGTGACATACTTTAAAATTTTATTTTACTTAGCAATCCCTTACTCCTACAGCTCCTATGCTGTTTCAAGGCACATAACTCACTATATGCTCTTCATAACCATGGCCATTAGGATGACTGCTCCCTCTTTTACTATATGGAAACACAACATTATAAAGTTCTCGGGGCCTACCAACATTTCTGGCTTATAAGTGGCAGCTATTCCAGAGCCTGTATTCTATGCTGCTCTTCAAAGACATTTATCGGCTATCGACTAGGAAACTACTTTTTCTATTTGCCATGGGGTTTGGGCTCATCAGTGGATCTAAGGCAATTAGTTCTGGATGAAGGCCGGCACACTTGAAGCAGCTTAACCCTTGGGAACAGCTGAACACAAGGTTCCTAGTAAAACCAAAGTAGCTCCCCCTACCCCAGCCTGGGCTCTCTTTCTACTACTTGAAGACTTGTTACTGGACCTTGACAACTCTCGTAACTGCTTAATGTCAGGGGCTCTATTAGTAGCCTTAAGAGCCTGCTTAGGTTGGGGTCCTGTCAAAACCAAACCAAATCAAATTAAACCAAATCCACTAAAACCCAACCTACTGCAAAAATGAACATACTACATACTTAAGTCTTTATTACCACCTCCTTCCCAGGAAAAGTATGTTAATTTTAATTACAAGTCACAGTAAAAGTAAAAGCAAACTATGTTTCCATTAAGGTGATGTCACCAAGAGTTTATGGTATCCAGCAGCGCACTGCATTGTCCTGGATGAAGATCTGTTCTCTTCCCAGGGGTGTGCATTGCTTAGGCTGCTTGGAGAATCCCTCTGCACCCTACAGGACCCAGCACAGAGGTCGCACCCTGCCCTTGGCCCTGGCCTGGCTCTGTCTTGGCTCACTTGGGTCACTCTATTTCCCACACTCTGTCCTCCTGGGAGGACAGTCCATACGGTAGCCTAGATCTTGGGGCACCAGTCCTATTTCCCATGGACAGTGTGCTCCTGAAGGACAGAGTGTGGCTGCTTCATCTGCCTAGCACGAATCAGTCATGAAGGACCATGAGATTAAATCCCTGAAATCCAGCAGTCTTCCCACGGGGCACAGCCTCTCACGCAGCAGTGATCAAGGACACAGGTGTGTTCAAACATTCAGATCCTGCAACACCTTGTATTTACAACTCTATCCTATATCTTCATTTTGCTAGCTAGAATAAAGTCATCAATTTGTAAATATTAAAAGCTGATTTTTGTCTTTCCCTCTTTCACTACTGGGCCATTAGTGTGGAAGGGAGAGAGTGTTTTTCCTACCTTTAGCCTCCACAAAGGATATGGTGAGTCTGTGTCACGGTTGAAAAACCTAGTTGTCTTTGTCCCTGCACTTAATAAATATTCAGCTGGTAAACCCTGTGTTTGTGAAATATACCGGATCTGCAAGAAAAGATGAGAAAGAGGTCAGGGCTTTTACTGTCACGGTGCATATGGTGTACTGGTGGCTCTAGTGGCTCTGAGAAAAATGGAATTATTAATTTTAGAGGAAAAAGAAGTAAAAAAGAAGACACACATGCACACGCACGTGCTCACACATGCACACACACGGGGGTGGCAGGAGAGGGTTAATAAGTTAGACCATAAGAACATAATAGTGCAGGTCCTTTTTTTTCTTTTAAGATTTATTTATTTACTTTATGTATATGAATCCACTGTCGCTGTCTTCAGACACACCAGAAGAGGGCATTGGATCCCATTACAGATGGTTGTGAGCCACTATGTGGTTGCTGGGAATTGAATCAAGGACCTTTGGAAGAGCAGTCAGTGCTCTGAACTGCTGAGCCATCTCTCCAGCCACCAGAGGACATGTTCTAAGTGAAATGGTAATCTAAGGTTTTCTGGATGGAGAGTGAAGTCACGTAGTGAATTCCTGTGTCACCCAGACCTACCTGATCATACTCAGAAGCACCTGGGTATAATGGCCAGCCCAGGAACAGCTCAGCAATGACACAACCGAGGGACCACATGTCAATTGCCTCACAAAATGGCAAACCAAGGATGATCTCAGGGGCCCTGGAGAGGAAGAATGGAAAGAGTCATCAGTGGTCTGGAGACACAGTAGCTATTTCTGCATGAATTCTAGCTCTGACCTGGGGTACCATGACTCCCTGTGTGGGGTCTGTGGTCTTTGAGAGAGGTCTGCATTGCAGTGACTCTCCATTCTTTGGCTGTCATCTAGTTAGAAGAGGATGCAGTTAGCTTGCAAGTGCAGAGTAAGGGTTGGTGGGTGGCAGTACAACAGACCTACAGTGAAGCATGTCTGTGGGTATCACCACCATCACACTCTGGCCACATGAGCTCATGACCTGATAACCACACCACAAACAGTACGAAGTTAGCTTTTGTAGCTAAACATCTAGAATTCTTTATAAAGAGTGCCTAATATTTAAGTAGGAATTCTGAAACAGTCTACTTTCAGGGATACATAAAAATCGCTGCTCTCACTTAAAATAAGGCAATGAAGTCCAATATCCACTCATCCCAATGATCTTTGTCCTAGGCATATGTATTACAATTCTTCAAGGAAACATTACTATTACTTTTCCCATCAGTGTCTAAAAGGTTGATCTCTATAAAAATTCTTTAATGTTACAACTATAGAACCCCATTCATGAATAGATCATCTTGAAAGTCAACCAGATTCCATTTTAAACTCCTGGTTGTAGGAGCTAATGTCTCTGTAAATGACAGACAAGGCCACATAGAAATTTCAAAGGCATTTTAAAGAGAAAGTACACATGTATTTGGTAGCCAAGACCAGATCATAAGGTCTTTCTTTTAAATTTTATTCATGTGCATGTGTGTATATCTGTGTGAAGGAATGTCACAAATGTAGGGCAAGAGGGCACTAGGTCCCTTGGAACTGGAGTTAGAGGCAACACTATATCAAGGAACAAAAGATTATGCACATGCATGATATAAACACAAACCTGAGAAGGCATGTACCACAGTACATATCATACCTCAACAGCTTCCGCTTTGGAAAACCAAAACTGAATGCAAGGGCAAAGTTAACAAACATAAGCAAACCTCAAGTACACACCTTTCCTTAATCCTTCCCTCGAAGTGTTATCAAGAACATCTGCTTCCTCCACACCCCATTTCTCAGAGCAATGGCCTCCTAAAAGTTCCTGCCTCTGCACTGCATCCCAGCTTCTTAACCTTTTCTCAGATGCCCCTACACTCATGTGCCATACTAGAAAGACCAGGATGACCTTTGCATGCTCATGTTCTTTGGTCAGCATTTCAGCTCTATGTCTTGAGAGCTGTCTTTCTTCTATACAACTGCCCACTGCCTCTGCTTTGCTATTCCTAGGTGCCACTTTCCCATATCCAAATTTCTTGCCTGTCTATACCCTTTGCTAGAGCATCCTCCTTTGTCCAAATGGTCCATGTCCCATGTTCTTTTCTTTCTATTTTTTTCCCTATGTGTTTATCATGGTTGTGTGTTTATCCTGAATGATATGCTGGGTTGGGAATATAGCTCAGAGGTAGTGTACATGCCAAGTATGCACGAGCAGGTCCTGAGCTCAATCTCCAGTATTATAAAACAGCTGTGTTGGAATCTTAATTATTTAGAAATGGGGTTGTTGTAGGTTTAATTAGTTAAGATGAAGCTGTATCATGGAAGGTGGGTCCTAATACAATATGGCAGATGTCTTTATTAGGACAGGGAAATTTGGGCACTGACAAGATAGCCATGAGATGACAGAGGTAAAGACTGTGTTTATGTGCTGCTAGCCAAGGAGCGTCTACAGCCACAAAAAGCAGGAAAACAGCCTCTCTTCCATCTTCCAGGCCTGGCTAATACGTCATCTTTGGTGCTCTGGGCTCCTGAACATCCACAGAGCAGCAGCTGTTCCAAGCTGCTGTGGCCCCTTTTGCAGCTCTAGGACACTTGGCACAGCAATCATGCCAAGACTCACATCTAAATCCCAGTCTCATCTTGGAACTGTCTTTTCAGTTCTAAGCTCACATCTGAGAGCCGGGAACCTTGAAGGCTATGTCCCACAGTGACATCAAAGTTCCCAGGTTGAGAGGGAACCCATCTCTACCTTTTCCTCATCTTCCTCATTCTACTAAATGAACCCAACACTCCCACCCCGACCCTCCTGCTTTGCCAGAGATCCAGGACCGAACCCTTTCCCTTTATTACCCCCACCACCCAGACCATCCACATGGCCAGATTCAAAGTCTAGCTAAAGTCAGTCCCTTTTTCCCTCTCCCCTGGCCTAACTCTGGCTTCAGCCACTGCCTCACCTGGAGTTTCCTGTTTTCTCTTCCCAATGGCATGTGTTTCAAAGTCCTCAGTGGGCTTCTCACTGTACTTAGAATATATGAATCTCTCCCATGGCTCAAGGATCTCCCTCTCCCCAGTTAAGGACCCAGTTTGCCTTTCTACTGTCATTTCAAATCACTTTTCTACTGCAACAGGCTCTGGTGCCAGCAGTGTCTTCTCAACTTCCATAATACCTTAAGCGCCTTCTGGACCAGTAGCCTTCAGTAATGTAGTTGCTTCTGCCTCTGTGCTTGCCCCATGGCTTTCAAACAGCTTCCTCCTCATCCTTTGCACCTCTGCTTAATTGTCACCACCACCATAGACAGACCTCTGACACCAGTTAGTTCCCATCTCCAGCACCATAAATGTCACCTCACAGCACTCTCCCCAATAACATCCTTACTGTCTTTCTTTCTTCCACTACCATGAGGAAGAGCACAGTGCCTGGCGTTTAGTTGCCACTTGGTCAATACATACGTGTTGACTGAATATGCCATATTAAGTATAGGAAAGTGTGAAACATGAGTCAGGCTGGGAGTCCTGAGGCAGTGTGGACAAAGGAGAGGGAAGGGGTAAGTAAGTCTTCACAGGGAACTAAGTCTGGGCACTGGTACAGGAGGACTCCGCTAGGAATAAACAGGCACTGAGGCCCAAAGGGGCATGTGCATACCAGCCCATGCTCAGTTGCACAGACACCTGAGCAAGGGAGACTGGAGGAGAGCCTGTGTGTCTATCTGCTGACGATTCATCAAAGACCTACAGCAAGAAAGGTGAAGTGTGGAAATGTGAAATTTGTACCAATGTCTTTCACGGTCAGAGTTCTTGAGATCTGGTCCAAACCTCTCTTAACTTTGGGGTGGTGTGTAGACCGATAGACTATAACCACATAGCTGCACTGTGCTCAGCCTCCGCTGGTTCTAGGTAAATCAAGTACCCCCCATCCATGCTTCTGTTACCGTCGCTAACTTGGCTCTTGCTTTTGGTTTCAGCCTTTCCTCTCATGTCTCAAAGGATGCATTCCTTTTCTCTGCACATATGCAACCTATTTTTGAACGACTTCCCCTTCCCGCCCCTTCCGGTCTTCCTCACTCAAACATGTGTGCTCACTTGGCATCTGCCCTTGTCTACACAAGTCGATCAAGATGTAAACACGAGTGGCAGACTGGTCAAGAGATATTAACTGAGCATCTGCCACCCCAAGGAACCATCTTAAAAGAAATCTCTCTGATTATTTAGGACACCATAAACCCTTTGAACATGCATGAAGTGTCAAAAAGTTACACCTAAGGAAAAGAAAATAACTTCTTATATCCTAACATGACACTGAAAGTTCTTTTTTTTTTCTCTCTCTCTTCCCTTTTTTCATGGTAGGGAGAGATGTCTCATTGGCTAGTTCACTACACAGCTCTGGCTGGCCTGAAACTCACCAGTGCCTGGTCCACCGAAGGTACCTAATATATATTTCTAGAAGGAATGACTGTGTCAACCGCAGCTCCCTAGCAGTTCCCCCTTGAGGCTGGCAACAGCACCTTGGCAACTATATGACATGAGACACACTGCTTTGGCTCTTCCAAGTTTGGGAGGTTTGAGGTCACATTCCGTAGAGGTTGTTTTTGTCCTTAGAGTGGTGCCAGTACAAGAAGGATCCTGGGTACATGGATCTCTGTCCTCCGGATTACTCATCTGACAGCTGCTCTACACTTTCCCTGCCATGGTACCACCTCATGCAAACATTTTAAAGAATCTCATTACTATTTTGGGGTCATGAAAAATATTTTAAACATATATATGAAATGTCAGACAAAATTGCACCTAAGAAAGAGAGTGACTATTCTTTTCCAACATGACCCTCACAAAACACCAAACATTCCATTTTTCTATGGGAGATTAGAAAAACAACTGTGACTTTCAACACACCAACAACTGAAGCTTTGATATTTAGCTCTACTGCTCTCTTGACAGTGCACATAAGGAATAAGTTATTCTTCGATCAGTCTAGACCATGTGACCTTGTGGATGCTGGCCTCCAAAAGAGGTGTGTAGACTGCAGGCAGAAGCCCAGTGCCCATGGGCCCAATCCTAGTATTTTTAAGTACTGGCCATATACCTCATTCCAGAAGGAGGTGCCAAAAAGAAGGTTAAATAGAGCTGTCAGGAAGTACCTAAGGTCTAGGACAATAAAACAACACTAAATCACTCACCTATTATCTCACTTAATCTATATGACAGCAATGAAAACAAAAAGAACACTCCTTTTCTGGTTTTCTTTTTGGTGCTCTGAATCCAACCCGGGGTCTTGCTCATGCTAGGAACACACTCAACACTGTAACTTCCTTTGCGCCTTTTCCTCACTTGAAAGACACCCTTTCATTTTATATATTAGAAGTTGCAGTCACAGATCTCTCATCTGACTGTAGAAGCAGAACTTCCTACCTGTAACCTGTCTTCCATTTATTTGGTCTAATGCAGATGGCAGCAGCATGCACAGAACAAGGCCAGGACTGAGAAGGCAGCACCTGCCCTGCCCTGCCCTTCCCTGTGGTCATCTTCCTATCCAGATGGTAGTTATGATGCCACAGTGATACCCTGGGAACAAAGCCCAGGGAAGAGGTCTGAGGACCTAAGTGAGGAGCTGACTCTGTGTGTACTTACAACATTCATTGTGGCAGAGGCCTGTGCTGTAGGAGCTGGGCACACATCCTGCTCACTCCAGTATCCTTGGCTAACCACTGGC